GATGCCTTTCTGAAAGACATTTGTTAACCAGCAAGTTATTGGTTTCAACACAAAGAAACCAGGTGTAATTTCAGAGCCTGTGATATACAGTATAAACTCAAATAGCTTTATTCTAGGAATTAATCTAGTAAATTACTGACTGAATAAGAAACTAGCAGAGCTGATGGTGTATTTACCAAGGGATACAGAAGCCTAAATTCTGTATAATCTCTATCCCACTTCAAAAAAAGGCAGAAGAATGTCTCTACTGATAGGTGTGACACACTTCCTATTTTCTTACCTGTACAAGATATTTGTGTGCATGCTCATAGGATGGTAAAGCTCCTTCTCCAATCAGCTCTGTATCAAATAATTCTGTTACCAGGATGTTTGCCCGACACTGCATATCTCCATCTAAAAGGCACAAATTAATATTGTAATGTTAAATCTTTATGTAGTCTTTCAAAAAGATGCTATCCTGAATGCACAAATAACTAAAAAACTTATTCCTGTTAGAGAGTCTACTGAAGACTGGAAATTATTTTCCATTTGAAATACAAATGGCTACTGAGATATTACCAGAACACTCTTTCGAAGTAGATTTCCAGTGTTGCTTTCTCGAATGTAAACTATCACAGAATCCTTAAGGTTGGAAAAGACCTGTAAGATCAAGTCCAACCACTAACCCAGCACCATCACCATGATCCCCACTAAACCATGTCCCCAAGTGCCATATCCACATGCTTTTGAACACTTCCAGGGATGGTGATTCCACCCTTTCCCTAGGCAGTCTTTTCAGCGCTTTACAATCCTTTCTGTGAAAAAAAATTTCCTCACCTCCAATCGAAACCTTCCCTAGCACAACTTGAGGCCATTTCCTGTCATCTTGTCACTTGTCACCTGGGAGAAGAGGCCAACCCTCACCTGCCTACAACCTCCTTTCAGGCAGTTGTAGAGATGTCTCCCCTGAGCCTCCTCTTCTCCAAGGTGAACCCTCCCAGCTCCCTCAGTGTTCTACAAGCACCTGTTTCAATTTAAAAAGTATAAGAAATAAGAGTAAGACATATTCCTTCGTGGTTTTCAGGTACTTGACAATTTTTTCAAGCCTAGCCTATTTTTCTCACCTGGGCCAACTGTGACTTCAGTGGAATGTTTGTTTATTATTTTGATCTTGTCAGAAAAACCATTTTTCTCCACTATCTTCACAGCAACATTAGCCATGGGCTTGAATACCTGTGAACACAGCAAGAGTGTAACAAAATCGTACCCCTCAAGTTGGCTTTCAAAAACAAAATGCAGTATATTTAGTCATGAAAAAAATTAACATCTTCTGTATCTTTTCCTATGTTTGAAGTTCACTACCATGAAACAAGGCAACAAGTCTCACTTGAAAAATTCAGAGCTCTACTGTTAGAGAGTTATCAGCTGTCTCCAAAATCTACTCAAATTTAACTTTTGAAACACAAAAATACACGTTAATATTGTAGCATTTATGTTAAACAAGCTTATTTCTTTGTAAAAATAAAGATATATATACATATATCAACAGCCCCTAAAGCCCCTAAAGACTTACACGTGCTCAAGACAATGTCAATGAAACCAAAACAACCAGCATTGATATAGTCACTGAAGTGTGTCAAAAACCTGCTTGTAGTAACAGTGTAGTTGTGAAGAAAATTTCTTTCATTCAGAACAAAAATAACAGAGATAGCACATAGCCTGAAAAGAAGAGTATCACAAAGAACGTGTTGAACATGTGCAACCCCTAACAAATGCTCACCTCAATGGCATAGCAGAAATCTGCCCCAGCTGAAGCTGCCATCATGGACAGGAGTCCTGTGCCAGTCCCTATGTCCAGCACAATTGCTTTCTCACCTCTTTCTTTTACTCTGTTCACTGCAGCACGAATACCTTGGTAGTATTTCACATTCTGTGGAAAACAAAACAAACAAACAAAAAAATCAGCAACCTTTTACCTATTTGTGTTTTTAATTTTTGTGCAGAAATCTTGCATTCCTTGACCATGAATTTATAATCAGGAAAAGGCCTACAGACACTCTTTATGCCAAACAGTCACACCAAAGCCATCTTCAGCAATAACAACTGTATCTGTCAGGATCAGTCTGTTTAAAGTACATCAATATTTATCACAATGTTCATATTACCATTGGTCAATCAGCTATTCATAATATATGTATGATTTCCAAATGTGATACAGTTTCCCGAGCAAATAATAATCAGATCCATGGGAGATACTGCAAGTTTTCTGATTAATTTTCCCCAGCGAGACCACTCAAATATTCATATTTTCCCTTCAGCAGTACAAGACTGAAGTATCTTGGTTTAAATTCCTCTCTTCATCTACTGACAAAGGTTCATACATGAGAATCAACCTGTGTAAATCCTGGTTTTTGGTTACAGGCCATTAAATGGAGCTATAAGCACACCAGCATCAACAACAGGAAAAAAACAAATTCTGTCAGCCACAAGATATAGATTGACATATATGCTTCGATTTCCTTTCTAACAACCTACTGTAAGATATTCCTTTCCAAATGATTTATTAAGCCTTTCCAAATAATATACAACCTTTGAACATTACACATTTGGAAGGTTTGCTGGATGGCTTTCTGAACAATTCTAGTCAACAGCTTTGATGCACATAATTCCAGCAGTTGTTTTAATCACTCAGACACAATCTGCTGTCTCTACACAGCTTATTAAATGCCTGATCCCACTGACATGTTTTAATTCAATATGAATTCAAGACTTATCGTGGAGCACCACAAAAATCTTTCAAAACATTGTTGATGGAAAGCTGACTTACTGGCTTACTGAACTACTCACTCCAGACTCCATCGTGCCTGTACATATGGCAGAAGCAGCACAGAAGAATAGACTTTACTTACACTCCTATAAAAATTAAGAAGCCCAGTTTCCCTTTTACAGCCTTTGAAATTTCATCTAATGAGCTCTCTGTCAAAAATGTTAAACACAGAACAGCAAAATCAGCTACTGAATATAAAAATGTTCTGTAGTAAACAACAGAACACTAAAGTTAGATGTAAAAAGGCATCTGTTGATCTAAGAGCAGGTCTGGTACCTTAGAGAGTACAAAAATGTGATCATTTAATCTTTCAGAGAAACCCATATAATCATACAGTGACAGCAATTCAGGAGAAATGCAATGGCTCTTTTCCCACCATTCAAAAGGGGTTTGCTTCTATACTTACTCTGTCCTTATCATGAAGCATATCTGCATAGCGTGACCTGCAATGAAAGATATTCCAGTTAAAACACTCCATTCTGCAAAGCAACTGGTCCCTGCGGCCCACAAATGCACATGCAACTGACACACTCTTTGAGGATTTACAAATGTAAGGGATAATGTAATTTCAGTGGTCTGGCCACGAGCATGTGAATCAACTCATGAACCACTGGCACAAATCCTCTCCACAGTAATGGACCCCAGGCACAGAGCTATGGACAAACACCTGTGAGGCAGTACCTGAGACAGACACAGTCATACAGGGCAATGAAAGACAGACTACTAACGACTTATTTTTTACCAAAGCTTACTCTGGCTCCCATTTCTTCATGGGTTGCACTATTCCAAAACAACCCAAAATATATCTTCCCACCTTCTCTGGCTATTGTATTAAGCTCTTAAAAAGCTAGAACAGGGACAGACAACTGGCATTTATATGTTGCACTAGCATTTAAAATAATTTTAGTCAATACATTTTGTCCCAACTCAGTCACTGTCAGTATTAGGATCAGCCCCAAAGCAAACATTAAAGAAATTTAGAAGGCAACTACTTGGACAATGGTTTACAAAATTCTACATTGACAGCTCTGCCCTGTACACCACTGGGTACATTTACTGACATTTAGACTATCCTACAGTCTGTTCACCTCATGCCCTTAGAACTTCTACAAAGACAGACACCCAAACTGCCATTAAAATAAAGTTGGATTTCCTAATTTTTCAGAGTCCTTTAATGGAACAACAAGCTACTTTTCCAAGCATACCTTGCAATCTCCTGGTGATAGTCATAGTCCTCCCCCTCTTCAAACCACTCAATCGAACCAGTGGTTGGATTGGCTCTTCCACAAAAGGTCTTCATGATCAATCTCAATTCGTATTGTACTACTTATGTATTGTGTGCAGATTTGCTTTCGCTTCGGCTGTGAAAAAAACCAAACCAATCACAAAACTTTTAGTAAACACAAGTATGACTTTAGCTCTTGTATATTTCCCCCCTCTACGTCTGCCTTGGCCAGAAGTACTGGTGACCGCTTTATGCTTTTTTCACGAGGCCGTTTTAAGCTAAAATCTGTCACCTAGCCCTAGACTGAAAGGGGACCCTGAAGATCACCTGGGTGTAACCCTGAGAACACAGCGCAGAGAAGAAACCAGGACAGCAGTAAATGCTCATGTTACAACATCCCGCAAGTGAGCCCGTCGGGCCGGGCCCGTCTCCCGGAGCCCCCACAGCCTGCCCGAGGGCAATCCCCGCGCCGGGAGCGGCAGGGCCCGGGCCTTCCCCCCTCAGGAACGAGCAGTGATGGGGCACGGCCAGAACGCTCTCCGCCATCCCGTGCCCGGAACCAGCGCAGCGGGCCCGAGAGGCCGCGGGCTCGTCCCTCCTCAGAGCCCCGGGCCGGCAGCTCCGCAAGCCGCGTGTACTCACTCCGGACACCGCGTGTGCCTGCCGTGGACACCGCGTGTGCGGGCCCTCCCCCGGATACCGGGCGTACCTGCCCCGGACACCGCGTGTGCCTGCCCCCTACACGGCGGGCCCTCCTCCGCCGCCGCTACCGATCCCGAGCCGCGGGCCCGGCGCGCCCCGCGCGAGGGCGGTGCTGTGCAGTGCTGTGCGCGCTGGGCAGAGCGGTCGTTCCCGGTGCAGAGCGGTCGTTCCCGGCGCTGTGCGGTCGTTCCCGGTGCACAGCGGCCGTTCCCGGTGCACAGCGGGCGCTCCCGGCGCGGTGCGGGCGCTCCGCCCCTCTGTCGGGCGCCATGGCGGGCGCGGCCGTGCTGCGCGTGCGGCGGAAGCGCGGCGGCCCCGAGCCGGCCGAGGCGCTGCTCCTGGCCTGCAAGCGGCGCCGGGCCGAGCCCGTGGAGACCAACCTCTTCAAGCTGGTGGCCACCGTGTCTTCCAAGGTACCGCGGCAGGCCGGGCGGGGCGGAGTGGGCCGGTCGGTGCTCCGGGAGGGGTTTGGAAAGCAGTGGCTGTCCCTGGCTGCTCTCGCGGGTCTTTCGGGCTCCCCTGTGCAGGCGGGGGTGTGGAGAGCAGCGCGGCCCCGGGCAGCGCTGTCCTGTCCCGGTAACCGAGGGCACGGCGGCTCCTCCTGCGCTGTGACAGCCGCGGCAGGGCACGAGCAGAGCTACGGGCCACGGCACACAGTGAGCCCCGGGACAAGCCGTGCTTAGCACTCGCTTTTCTACACTTAGAGACTGTTCTTCGCTTGGAAACTACACAACAGGCTATAAGTGAAGCTTAAATTTCTGCTGCGTGAGATGCTGAAGCTCAGGCCCACAAAGATAACAACTACCATCCAGCCTTTTATATTGAATAAGACTGTTCTATCTGTTCTATCTTGGGAAGTGGTCTTCTTAGGACATTGTAAAGGATATTACGGCCTAAATCTAGATCCATTGCACTTTCAAAGGCATGTGATTTTGTTTGGAGGGTTATTCTGTACTACAGAGTTGCTTAAAAATCAAAATGGAACAGTCTTAGGACTTCTATATTGTCTGCTTTCCTCTCCTCATAACAAGAGAATATTATTTCTGTGTTGCTTAAAGCAATAATAGAAGTTACTTGAGTATTGTTAGGATTATTGGTACTGCCGTTCTTCATCCCTTCTAGGAAAGAGTATGCCTTGCTATGTTGTTATCATTCTATTCCTCCTCCTTTTTGTTCCTTTTCCCCAGAACGAACCAGTTCAGAAGTATGTTAAAGATGCTATCACGCGAGACAAGGCAGCTCAAAGCCTGCGCCCCTCTTTGGGAAGCACTCAGCGGATCGTCCAGGAGCTGCGTTGTGCCAAGCAGGCCAAGAGGAAGGAGAACCGGTACCGGGTGGTATCGAGCCATCGGCCCGACTGCACCGGCTCCGCTGCACCTGGCACGCACAGCTCTGAGGCACAGCAGGATGCTTCACCAGAGGAGAGCAGTGCTGTCCATCAGAGTTCAGACTGCTGTGGGAAATTCCAGCTGTTTGATATTGTACAAGAAGAGGAGACAGTGGGAGATTCCAGTGTAGCCACTGCAAACCCACAGGTCAGCTCATGAACTCAGTGTGCTTGAAGTACTTTGGTACATGTGGGCAGACTGCTATGGGAGTTTGCTTGCACCATAAGTATTCCACTGTTTAATAGGAGCTTTAACTAGATTGCAAGTTGGAATGTTCCATGAAGATCCTATGTGCACTATGTTGAAACAGTGTGTGAAGCTGCTGCTTAAGGAAGGGCTTGTACCACCCTATTTTTTCTTTGCCTAAGTCTGATGTGTAAGTTCTCTTTTCATCTGAAAACTGTTGGCTGTAAATAAGACTTGGCATGACTTTAGTGGAAATATGCATTTTTTACTTTTTCTCAGCAGAAGAATGATCCAGATGCAATTCTCTGCAATGCAGTAGAGATGATCCGTGAGCGTTTAAATGTTTCTGAAGATGGTAAAAAAGAACATGGTGGCAAAGAAGATGAGTACGTTTATGACATCTACTATAAGGAAACATCAGCCCCTGATTGGATTGAAAATATCCTTTCTGTACAGCCCTATAGAGAAGAATATGAATGGGTAAGAGTGTGGAAAAAGCAATCTTTCTCAACTAAAAAGATCACAAATAAAAGATGTTTAAAGTCCTGCTGTTAAAATGCCAAGGAAGGTCTAAGATAGACACTGCATGTATGCTCCGTGACTTCTGTGTTTGGCCTTTTGCAAGTGCCAGTCCCATGTTCCTGCAGGTTACTGTTGATCCAAGGACATCATATGACAAAATGGAAGGGATAGTGCTCATGTAATGAGAAAATCTCTCTGGTTTCAAACTGCCAATTACATTTTGGCACATGAATGTAAACTTGAGTAATTTGTATCTTGCTTGTGATTAGGAGGCATCCATTAAAATGTCATTGTAAATATGACTGAATGAAAAGAGCAAGGGGGGGAACACAACTTTTTCAGTATTTGAGGACTTGACTTAAATCTTCATGTGAGATATTTTTTCATAACAGATTGTTCTTCAGTGACTGTGGAGTTAGGAAGTTTAATGTAAGGCTTAGTCTTGTGTTGTACAATTCTTGTGATCAACATTTGTATTGGGAGCCTGAAACTACTTTCTCTTTTCCTTGATCTATTACACTGCTGCTGAAGTGAGTAGGACTAAGTAAGACATTAACATTGAAATGCTGGAGTGTAACATGTACATATGTGACCTCACTGATTTTTCACCTAAAGCAGTCTTGAGGTACTATGGTAAATGTAGTGACAACTCTTGTGAAGTGTGCCCTGTGTCACTGCAGATTTTCTTCGGCCTGCCATCAGTATTTCCTGGCTCTTTCTGATCTGTACAGTATTGCACAGGTGGATGAAAACCCACTTAACATTCACTATAAATACAGATATTATGTTTTGTGTTTACATGCAGGTAAATGATGATCCTGGTCCAGAGGAAGTATATGAAGATGAAGATGATGAAAATGATGAAAATAACTGGCGTAATGATTATCCTGAAGAAGATGAATTCTTACCTGAGGAAGATGGAGAAAAAGGTACACCTGTCATAAATGCTGTTTGCTTTCCTGCTGTGCATGTGTACATCCTCTCTTTTATTACATGCTATCCCTAAAAAAGCAACTTAACTGAGTGCTGCTCTTACAAAGGTGAAATCTGCATAGAGGAGAATTGTCTTTCTTAGAACTAGAAGAGAAATTAGTGGTTTTGAAAAGACAAAATTGAGAAGTCAAATTGAGGCTGCTGCAATTGCAAAGGTTTGCTTGCTTACAGGAGCAATCCACGACTTGGGTCCACATGCTTGTGAAACACTGCCTCTGCCTTCTGAAGTCCCTACCCCAGAGTACTTCAAACACAATTCAAACCTCAGCTCATGAAGAAGTTGTTCAGACTTCATTAGTTTCTCAAGAAGCTTAAATTATTCTGATTAACTTAATTTTTTAAGTAAAAAGAGGGGATAATCTAGAATTGTTGATGCTTTCTCTACAGACTCTGAAGAGAGCTTCAGTGATGAGGATCAATGTTACAGGAGAAGAACATGGGACAAATATCGACAGGAGGTTTTGCAGGAATTCGGATACGATGAGATTGAAGATTTGGGGTCTGACTAACAGCCTGGCTTTGGAGATGAAATGCATACTGAAGGTGAACGTCTGCTGCTGTAGGAGAATACACTATCTGAGCAGCCAACTTCAGCTGGTGGATATTAAACAGATGGATGTGACTATGGCCACTTTAGAACACAAATTTTTTTCCAAGCACAAGATGCTCTCTGCTTTAAAATAGAATTTTCCACCCACTGCGTGTTAAGGTTTTGAAGGGACCTTTTATTTATTTTTGTTTTCCCAAAGCTGCATGCCCAAGAGTTTGTACCTGTAGCAGATGTACAGATATGGAGGAAGTGTTGGCAGCAGCCCTTCTGGTTATGGCTAATATATCAGGTTTCACAAGAAGATCAATGAGTCTGCCCTGCTGGCAAGTGGAAGTCCTAGAAAAAGACACCCTATCCTACTGTTTTGTACTTCATTTGTTCCTAAGTGTCAAGTGACTTTCATCACAAGTGTTGAGCATATGAAATGCCTTGACCAGTCTACTACTCTCCCCGCAGTTCTAATGTTGACCAATGTGCATTTAAATTGTAAATAAAAATTTTTTTGACCAAGTTTTCTTTAGTCATTTAAATACCACAGAAGTTGGTACAGCTGAACCCAGGTCACCATTTTAACTTGCATTTGTACATCTTTAAAACAAATCTATTGTGCTTGTTTGGACACACAGAGTATTTCAGCTCACACTCCCCTACTTGAGTCTGTAAAAAATAGCTAATAGGATTAGCTCTTAGCTGGTTAATGTCATTCATGAACTGGAGGCTACAGCAGTACTTAGGCCAATCAGTTTTGCCTGGTAATGTGGAAGCAAGGTATTTTTGTTTGTTTCAGAGAAAGTTTTAACATGGCAATGCAAAAATCCAAGTATTCCCATTATTATTCAAGTCACTGATGCAACTGTGGTGCACCCTTTGAAGTGTGTATTACTTCAGCCATAACCTTGTAATTACAAGATTTAGTTCAGCTTATATGCACAAAACCATACATGTGGCCAAACTCAGGTCAATAAAGATAGACATTCTGAACTAAGGTAAAAATCTCAGGTATGTTTTAGAAGTACATCTCACTTTGGCAAACAGGCTGGCTTCTTGTTGCCTTTTGCTGCACCAAAATTCAGTATCAAAACTGTCCTGACTTTAGGCTTACAGCTTTGGAATTACATAGACTACCAATTAGCATCTCTGTGCTGTGGTAGTACCTTTTACTTCTGTTTTTATTTCTAGTTTTTCTCCCTGCTACTTAGCTGTCAACATCTAGTATCTGCCACAGAAATTCTGCTATAGAAGGAAAAAAAAAATAAAGTGGTTTCTGGGAGGTTTTAGATGGTCACTTTCTAGTGAACAGCACTGAAATTTATAAAGGGAATTTTCTGACTTCTGAGGCAACTCAGTTACTGTGTCTTCACTGAAACAGTTCACAAACAAATGCTTACAGGCTTCAAACTGTATCTTTTAATTTTGGAAGTTTCATGAAACCTAGCAGAAATTGACAAAGTACTAACGAGTTAACAAGAAAAAAATCAACAACCGTTAATCAAATCTTTCGTGCCAAGGTGCTTTGCTGATTAAATCCTTGTCACAGTCAGATACATTTCCATGTAGCACACAGAATAAAATCTTCAAGGGAGAAAGGTTGGTTCAGTCTATAAATAATGGAGCAGAACTTAATTTATCATTAGGAGCAGAAAAACGAATGAAGTGGTTTGTTGTGACCAGTCTTCTTCTGGGATAAGAACTGAGCACAGCAAATAATTTCATGCATACATCCATCAGAATTAAGCTGGAAATGACTTGGTCTTTGGAGTCAAAGTGGGTTTTATCTAACTTAATAATGCATCACTTCACCACCTGGTTCTGCAGAAATCTAATTTGATCCATTAGCTCTTATCATTTTCAAACCAATTCTGAAGAAGAAACAGTATTGACACACAGCTTGTGTGAGTAGGTAAAGGGTAGGTCATCATCATCCAATGAAAACCTGCCCTGAAAACATGCCACACGTTAGGATGACACGAGGGCATGATCCACATTGGAGTCCATCTGCAAGTAAGAACATTTTCAGCATTTCTGAAAGACCACCGAACAGTTTTTCTGTGTCTGCCAGAGTTCCACCTCTTCCCTTTCGTTTGTGTAATTGCTTTATCCTCTCCTGCTTCTTGTAATGGCTTTGAACTTTAGTTGGATTTGATTTCTACCTTCTTTTCTTCATCTGGGTCCATCTCTGTTAAAACACAGTAACAGAGCAGCTGCATGTATCGTGTGACTGCACCTGCAGAGAAATTGGAGACAGATTAGAACAACAGCCACCTATCTCAACTCTAATCACAAAACACATCTGACTAATGAAACCTGTCAGGAATGCTGTCTCACTTCTCTTTAGGGAAACAAACAATAAAGTTAGTACAATAACTGTGTCCCACTCTTCTTTTTTCAACAGATAGTATCTTAAACGGTTCTGTTGGTATCCTAAGGTGTTTTACTTCTTAGGCACCCTGCCAAGTAACTGAAGGAAAATAATTTTTCTCTATGAGTGTAAAATTGGTGGAATAAAAAAAGTAAAATAGCACAAGGAAGAGCTACAAGATTACTGAGTATTTACATATATTCTACTTCTGCAGCACCACATCCTGCTTTCAGGGTAAGGTTGTGCTAGAAACCTTCCTTACCACATCCCTTATCATGGCTATCTCACAAAGTAACAATAACAAAAGGGCACCGATGGAAAAAATTACATTTGTGTAATTTAACTGCTGTAATTCAAGGGAAAGCAAAATTCCATTCTTTACTGACATAAAATCTATCTCCAAATAACCGATTCAGTAAAGCTGGACAGTTTGTGCTACCAAGAATGTTCACACTTTTTACAGTCATCAATCTTGCTTAACATAAAGACTATTTTCTGATGTTTTGGCTATTGCTGAACAGTGTTTGCACAGGTTTCTTTTCTTTCCTCTTACTCTGCTTTTCCTGCAGCCAGCAGGATGGGAGAAGGCAGGAAGTCTGGCAGAAAGATGGCCAGGACAGCTCACCCAAACTATGCAAAGGGCTATTTTGTGCTATCTGATGTCATGCTCAGCAATAGAAATGAGATGAGCAAGAAGTGTTTGCCTGTGGGAGTGCCTTCCCGTACAGCTGTTGCTTGGAGACTGGCTGCACACTGGACTGCCTGTGAGATGTGTGACTCATTGCTCTTGCAGCAGCAGGGTTTTTCCCCCACTTCACTTACTAACTTTCTTTGACTTCACCACCTTTGTTCTCCCTGTTCTGCTGGGGGTGCTGGTGAGCCAGTGGCTCCCTGGGTACTCAGCTGGGGTCAGCCCACCACAACCCTTCCCATCAACAGAGCAAGAGTCACCTATTTACTCTTCCTCCTTTCTAACAACATCTCCAGTTAACAAAGAAACTTACCTATAAACTTGTTAATAAATTGAGGTCTCCTTGATGCAGGTAAATAGACTCCCAAGAAAAAGAATGGAATTCCAGATAAAGCAATGGCAATTCCAATTACTGAATTTAAAAAGTCACTATAGAGTGGCACTACCACCAGAAATACTGTGCATAAACAGAATATTATTGGGAAAGCCAAACTCAGCTGCAGACAGAAAAAACAGAATACAATGTTAATGAAATATTCATTGTCTATAGTTACAAACATTATGATACAGACTTTTCTCTCTGAAATCCATTTTGTAAAATTCCCTACTCTTCCTCTCATATACCTGGCTATTTAGGATCATAAGCAAATTGCAGAATTATTCTTAACAGAACTGTTGCTATAAATTTCAAAAGTAGTCAAGTATGGTAGCTGTTGTGCTGAAAGAAAGTGTATGGTGGCATGAAGTGTTTTAGACAAAACCAGCAAAACTTGGGAAACAAGAATTACTGACTTTTTTGAGTAGAGTGTCAACTTAAAGTATGAGAAGGTTACTAGAGGATCAGATATCATCGGAGCTAAATGTGGTCCACAAACAGAATTACTTCACTTGAGCATTTCCAATCAGAGATTTCTGCTGCTAGATAAAAGGCTAACTACTATGTCAGGCTACTGAGAAATCCTCCAGTGGGCAGACAGAAGGGGTACTTGATGAACTCTCATATACTGATAGAGCATACTGACACAAGTCTCTTCTCTTACCTAGCAGACAAGCTAACTTTGATGGTACAACATCAAATGGAAACCACACTTTATGTCCTGATCTGTAACCTTTAGACTTAACTTGTATGGTCCAGATTTTAGACAGCACTTTTATACTTTATGGAAGACAGGGAATTTAAAGAATTGTGCAATAAATATTACCTTAAGAGGTCTTGGCCGATCTGGTTCTTTCCAACGTAGATATAACTGCCCAGCAATGGACAGACCAACAAAAAACCAGTAACTGAAGCTGAAGTAATTAATTAGCTGGAAGACATCTTCCACACACAGGTAAATAAGCGTCATAAAACACTGTCAGAAAAGAACAAGAGTGAGAATCTGAACCCAAAAGTTTGAAACTTAATGTTCATGCTGGTTTTTGCCTTTAAGTAACACCTTATGTTCCTTGGTGTTTGGCATAATTTTATGCCTCAAAAAAATCACTCTGTCAACAATTGCATTGACCACAGTACATTTTGTCTCTTGTGAATTTTTTTTAAGTTTTCCCTTAAATAATTCATATTCTTGTTCTGGAAAAGTTGTCTTAATTCATTGACTGATCCCAATATATTACATTCTGCTTCAGGGGACTGGGTTTCTCAGAGCTGCATTTAGATGCAATAAGGATCTGAGAAAAGATCTTTGGATTCTAGGAATTATTTAGGCTTGAGCAGCAGAAATCTTTTATATACAATATGTCAATTATTAGCTGCAGTTTCAGTTGGCTGAAAATGCAATCCATTGTAATCCATGGTATACAGAACACAGTTCTTATGGCATGGCCTTCTGCTAAACTGATGTTCTGATTTCAGCATGAAATAGAATATATACATGGACTAGTTCTTTTATTCTTTTCTCATGTTATTTTTTTATACATATATATTTGTGTACATTTATCTAGCCCTGTGAAGAAGCTCCATTTTGAGGGAAGCTGTGCTGTGTGTCCCATCTAATCAGTTGAAAAGAAAAGCAATAACAACTTGCATTGAAGAGCAGTGCTGGCACAGGTGTGAACCTCTTTATGTGGATCATTGACAACAGATCAGGGAGGTGACCTTCCCGAGATCCTACAAAAAATAGCCTGAAAAAAGCAGTAGAACACATGTTGAGATCACAGGCAAGAGAGAATATATTACAGAAAATCAAAGAATAACACCAGTCAAAATAAATATTTACAACACTGAATTTCTGCCCTTTAAACTGGAACTTGGATTCAACCCTTCTCATAAAGATGTACTGTAAAACACCCATTGAAAAATAGATAAGCTCTTAGAAACATGCTGTTAACAGCCATTTTTAAAAAAATCATCCTACATGTAAAATAGACAACATCTACAGTAACTGAAACAAATTTCTATTGTTTCACAAAATTCTAAGAGCTATTATTGAAGACATTCCAGCTTAGGGAAGAATAGTTTTCAATGCTGACCAGAAGGGATTCCCATGTCCCTAAAATAATGGGATCACTCAACTACACGCTCAAAAAACAAACACACACAATTTTATTATCTACTGTTCTATATTGACTGCTTCACCAAATGATTATATTTCTTCTCAACAGAGGCATTGCAAATTCATTCAATGGACAGGAAGAATATTAAAATGCCTGAATAAATCTATTTAAAACTTTTGCTAGTTACATCAACAATCCTTGCTAAAAGAAAAGGTTCTACACAACATCCTAAGGTTTCTGATTGCAGCTTCATAGCAGTAGCAAGTTTTTCCAAGTGCAGAGTTTTAAAACATTGATTTTAAAAGGTCAGTAAGTTTTAGATAAATACATTTGAAAATACAAACTTGCTAGAATTATGCAAACAATTAGAAGGCCTGAGGACTCACCACACAGACAAAATTAATTTGATCTTATAATTATGCTCTGCATTCACTCAGAAATGCTTTGGGGAAACAAGGCAGTGTTAAGGGTGTATCTACACACACACACAGAGGTTTATTCAGATCAGTTGTTCGATTGTGGCTATTCATTATAGGTTCAATTTTAAAAGTATTTTTGCCTCTCTCATAATAGATCAGAAATAGTAACATGTAAAAAGATTTACGAATATTTGTCAAACTGAAGGAGATATGCACTACCTTGATGATGCTAGAATTGAAGCATTAAGTCCACCAAAACAAGAAAAGGCTACAGCAATGGGAATTGTCCAGCTGAATATACCAAATACTCGGTCAGCAAATGTCTGATGAAAGGGAAAAGAAAAGGAAACATGAAAATATCTGCAAAAAAAAAAAAATGTGTAAAACAATGACACCAGAGCTTTTGTAATATGCTTGGATGGAAAAATAGTAACATAGTAAGGACAGTTCATAATGCAACACAAAGAATCACACAGCTTTCTTATTTATTTATGAATTCTAAATAAGCACAAACTTCTTTAGCCAAGCATCTGAAGTCACATTTTCTGCTCACAGAAATAAGGCTCACAAAGGAAAACAAAATGTTTTGAGAATTTTCTTCTCAATCCTAATATATTTTATTACTTAACTGACCTACAGAATACAAGTGAACATTTTTGGATTACTAAAAATATTACCTAACCAAAGAGGGAAGTGTCATATTGCAGTGAATAACTACAGCCAACATCACACCTACTGTTCACAGATACTATTCTAACAATCTATTTTGTTTTCCCTTTTTTGCAGTTTGCCAAGCAATATCTTTCGTTTAGCTCCACTGGCAGAGTCCCTGGGCTCTATTCTCACAGCTGGGCAAATGAAAGAACAAGTTATCAGCTTCTCAATAGTTGATGTTGCTAGACAATACTGCAGGAAACTGTGGTGATTGTCCATGGTAGAGCTCTGAAACCAAGAAGTCAGGAACATCAAAATTTCACAGCAAGTGGTAAGAGCCACTGATTGCCAGCAATCTTGGATCTAAAACAAAAATGGGTAATAATTTGCAATATACTGTCCTAGTCTATTCTGTTCAATCTCCTGGACGGAGAAAAAAGGGAGACGGACATAGAGTATCAGATAACACATCTGAAACATGAGGAAATGTAATTCATGCAGACTGACAGGTATTCTACCTCCCATCTTGGTCTGAGCATTGTACATATCTGCACATTAACATCAAGTTAGGCACAAATTCCCTCACGCTGACTTCAGAGGACATGGGTGGAAGCCTTCCTACCCATCCCAATTCCACCCACACAGAACTAAACCTCTCCTATGAATTCTTTCACAGAAGCAAACCAACAGTCATGGTAGCAAAAAAATCATGTCTACATTAGACAGCATGAAGTCACTATTTAAGGAAACAGAAAGGTACAGTCTCATGTATAAGCAGTGTTCCAACAAAGATCTGAACACTTCATACCTTAGCAAGCAGCAGTAATCTAAAGCTTTTATGAACCTTTCTCTAAATCACTTTCTTATCTCTCTCTTGCTTTATACATTTCAAGATCCTCAGAAATAAAAAACATGTCTATTATTTCAGTTTTCTTCAGTTTTTAGTATTTTTAAACACCTTGCCCTTGACCTCCCCTTCAATGCACTGGTCTTCATCATAACACTTATGAGCTAAGGAGCTCCATCAAAGGTGATAAACACTCAGAACTGGCCTTTATCTGTACCATATGAAGTTATCTCTATTTAAAAGTGGTCAAATTTTGATGTAATTACTTCAGGAACCAGATCATCAATAGCAGTGCATTAGGATCTGTTTTCTTAGTATTTTCATAGGTCAAAAAAGCCTAAGAGACTTAATATAGTTGGTTTGGGTTTTTTTTGTTACATGACTGTTTGATTTTCATGAGAAAAAACCCTGTATATAAGATCAATCTTTAAGCCTCAAGAATGCTGAGAAATTCATAAACCAAGGTTTGGCCAGCCAGTTTCCTGTTCTTTTGTCTGCATTGAAAAAGTGCTTTGTCCAGAACATTATCCAGGTTTTGGGTGAGAATCCAACTCTGCTGTGTACCATCATTTACATTAAAATGCAGAATGTTCCATCCTTTTGTGTAATTTAGTCGAGCCTCAAAGGCAGACAGGATTTCCTGCTGCCAAAGGACAATGCAAAATCTCCACTTCAATGGAACCTTCCCTAAAGGCTCAAAGTCAATGCACCAGCTGTGTCACCCTGCTTCTCAGAAAGGCACCTCACTTCCCGAGCACTTTTAGTTTATCCATCTTAGCACAGCTCCCCTCAAAATGGAGTTTCAACACAGGGATGGAAAAATGCACACAGATTCCTACAGATATTATAAAAAATAACATGAGAAAAGAATAAAAGAACTAGTCCACGTACGTATTCTATTTCATGCTGAAATCAGAACATCAGTTTAGCATTAGACCATTCCATAAGAAATGTGTTCTGTATACCAAGGATTACATTTTCAGCCAACTGAATCTGCAACTAGTAATTCACATGACTGTATATAAAAGATTTCTGCTGCTCAAGCCTAATTAATTCCTAGAAACCAAAGATCTTCTCTCAGATCCTTATTGCATCTAAATGCAGCTCTGAGAAACCCAGTCCCCTGAAGCAGGATGTAATTTATTATAATCCAGTCAATTAATTAAGACAACTCCTCCAGAACAAGAATGAGGACAAGACGAAAATTCTAATAAGCAATTATTATAATATCTTAAAGGAATATTTAAACCTGAACTGCTGATTTCTGAAGCCAAACAGTAAGTGAAATTGCCAGCACAAAACTCCTGGAGGATTTTTTGGTTTAATATAGAAAGTTAAGATACAGAACAAGATGTTAGAGAATTAAAATGTTTAGTAAAATTGCCTAAAGGATAAGCATTTAGATAAATAGTATTAACAACTGAAGCTAAAGAAGAGAGAAAAAAATCTATGAATGTAATCTTACGCTGAAGGATGCAAATTAGCTAATACATAATTTGGAGAATTCTTTCCCCCCAAAGATGTTATTTACAAGCATTTTCCATTTCCTTTTGAAACATCTGGTAATGGGCCAGTGTGAATGGCAGGTGCAGGACTAACTCAAAGGCTATTTGCATCCTGTAACCTATATCCAATTGTTCTAGGATATGCTAATAACTGTTTCACACATCTTGGAAAACAACAATCATTCATATGAACAGTAAAACCCACAAATTATATACAGATCAAAATGCTACAGATTCAATGTATTCTGGATGCAGGCTACGTTCTACCTCAACTTTTAGGCTTTAATCCAGCTCAAAGCCTAAATAAGTGATTTCTCTAGAGCTGTAAAGGTCAGACTCTTCAAAAGAGAGAGTAATGAATGTAGTGACAGTCTCTAACAAACACTGTCATTTCCAATGTACTTTCTAATGTTGTAGTTGGGATTCCTGACAGAGCAAAGGGTGGAGAAACTTCAAGAGCTAAACTTGCAGTGAGGCAATGCAAAAGATTATTTTAATTGAGAATCATCTAAAAAAAAGTTCAGCTGGGTTTGCCAAGTAGATGTGCCTGCAAAATGATTTTTCAGCAAAACAAAGTTGAAGGGTACCTAAAGTTTGGTTAATCTATCTATTGATATTAACCAGCTTAACATGAACATAAAGACCCACCTACCTTTAGGCAGGTGTTTTCTGACAGGGTTTCACCTTCATTTATAACAAAAATCAGCCAAGTTCAGTACTATTACTCAGACACTTGAGTATAAATTTACAAATCCTTCAGTACCCTCCTTTCAACAGATGCCAAGAAATGTCTTCTCTAAAGCTCAGCTACAGTCTCTTGTGAACAAAGATCTCCACAGTGTTTTTTGCTAAAAGAGTTACTGAAGTCTAAGTAAAAGCAGCCACATTTAACATTCACTGCATGCATATCAGAGGATTATTTTGCATAAGAAGGCAGGGCAGAGAAAAGTACAACCAGAAATCAAGTTATCAAGCACACACAATGAGTGCGCTGCACCAAGAAGGGAAGGGGGGAGGGAAAAGTAGAAGAGTTAGTGGCACCTTTCTGCTAAAACCACAATTGTACAATCGTGGATCCTCCACAATGAGCCAGGCCTGGGCTCTGAGCCGAGCTCCTCACCAATTTTACTTTAACTACCACTACTTCTGGGAGTTGTGAAGTGTATTTACAAAAACAAATGAGCTGGCAATGGAGGAAAGAATGGAGCATTCACAAAGGTATGCGGAGGATGACAGAGGAGCCTACCTGGAGGCAGCTATAAGCAGAAACATTTAGTCCACCATAACAGGAGAAAGCCACCACTATGGGGATGGATATCATCTCAGGATTCTTCTGAGAAAGTCTAAAGAGCAAGAAGGATTAAGAGATTAAATTGTCATCTCTGCTATAGTCTGAGAAGTCCTGTAGTCCGGACTTGAATTATAACTGCTTCTAACAGCTTGGAAACAGAGAATTCAGAGAATTGCTGATGTAACACTTGCAATTACAGATAAAGTTCTTTTATGCCCTCCCATCCATCGAATATGTAAGGTATACATAGATACATGCACACTGTAGGACATGCACCTGGAATTGTTCTCTTTAGTTCTGATTTTTTTTTTCAAACCATCATCAGGGAATAATGATGAAGAAAGAGGCCTTCCAGCCATGCACTTCTCAGCTGAACTGCCCTTATTTCATCATGACTAAAATGTTACATTACTCCCAGAAGAATGGTCAAAAAACTGAGTTACTGCTTTGTTTCACGGCATGAATGACTGATTAAACTACATTTTATTTTTGTCTTGGGTTAGTTTGATCTCATGATCATCAGCTGGTAAATTGTGAATGGTTTGCAAGAACACTTTTTTGTCCTTTTAAAGGTCCAAACAACAGCTCTGTACAAACAGGTTGAACTAAAAGCAGCAGAAATTCAAGCATCAAGAGCTGCCACAACAAAGTACACAGGCTACTGCCTCACACTCAGTAATTCAGGCACATTGATGAGTAGCAAGACTCACATTCATATTACAAATCACAAGATGAGAACTGTTTCATCACACTTAGCTGCACACTAGAAGTGCATTTAGAAGCACACATGAAATGTCAGACTACTCTGAGAGCATATGGAGCCACAAGCACATGTGAGGCTGGGAAAGCACCAAACAGTATTGACTGGAGGGACAAATGGAGAAATGCAAAGAGAATGTAGCCTAACATGAATAAGAAACTTATACCAAAAAAGTAACCAAAGATTATGAGGTGTTTCTATTAGGAAAGTTTAAAAAGCATCTCCGGAGCCGCTTCATGTAACTCTTTCCAAGATCTTATTGTCCAGGAACTTTTCCAGACCAAATTCTATTAACATTCTTACTCTGAAAATCACACAGAGCAGTAAGGGGATATAAATATGTATATATACATATATATATATATGTATGAGTGATATGACTGGTATTTTGGAAACACAACTAATTCTGCTTCGACATTTCTCTTGAGGTGAAGTATAATATATTCACACATTACAGGAAGATCTGGCAGTCAGAACTACAGTGTGTTTTCTTAATTTTGAGCTTCTGAGGACTCTAAGGTGCTATTGCCTAACAGAAACAAACTCTTGATTTATGGCAATCAGGAAGCTGCACATGCAAAAAAAAAAAGCACCTGAGCAGAAGTTTTCTCCCACTGCCATAGATTACATTGTCAGGATACTGTATGACATCTCTCCCCACTGACCAAATCAGATTTAATGTCACATATATCAAAAGAAAGGAAAGAGTGCACATCAACCAAACTCAGAAAACTGTAAAGGTGCAAAAGAAAACAATTTAAATGTGTCTTCTGTAATTCTAGTTTCAGTTACCATGCAGTTGATCAATTCCACTCAGACATAATTCTCTCGTATTATTGGCAACGCCTTTGCTGGGAGAAAAAGGTACCAATGCAGTAAAAGGTCCAGCATAAAATTTCCACTTCACTTTTAGGTCACTGAATACAATCTTATGGCAAGAGAACCAGCACTACTCTGCTGCATTAATATAATGCATCCCTATTTGCATGTAAGATGTCTCTTCTGTACAGCCCACATTAAAATTTCCAATGTCAGCTTCAACAATTAAACAGTTCCATTTATATTTTCATGGAGGTGCTGAAGATATTTAATCTAAACCTTCTCAGGTGTTTATCCTCTTCTTAGTATCTCTCATAGCTAGCTGTACAACAAGGGTTCAGTGTTTGTCAAGTCTCTGACCCATCTCATACTGAAAATATAATATAGATAGCATTCTCTAGTTCAGCTCAGCTTTTCAGCTTGGACTCCAAAGCCAGAGAATTTCCGTGTAGCTGGCATCGGGAGTGTTGCATTGGCAGCGAATTACAGCCAGCTCCAAGAAAGAAGGCAAATAACCTACTGAACAACTCTCATTCTAAAAGTAACTGCCTGCCCCTAATGAAGAGCTCTTCAGTTGTAAGGTATGGAATGTGCTCTTCATCCAAAGAAACCTTACTGGGAAGTGCCCATGGAAGCAAAGAAGAGGAACACAACAATGATGGCTAAGGACAAGCAGATTTTCCTCTTCAGAAAAGAAGCCAGTGAAGCCAATGAAAGAAGAGAATTAGTACCCAAAAGGTCTAAGAAGAACTAAAAAACTTCTGTCTGAATTCAGTTAGAAAAAAGATACTCAACATTTATTCAACTATACACCAAAGAAGAATAAAACAGCTAAAACACACAGCCTCCCACATTGCAGTTCATTGAGGGAGCATGGCAAAGCAAAGCAAGCCTGCTCTAGAATACGAGAGCACCAGGGTGAACTGACTGATCCACACTGCACTCACGAGATGATATTCAAAGATGCAACTGAAGTCATCCTCTTTATCCCCAGTTTACTGACAAAGTTTTACAGCTCCAAGAAAGATGACAGCTGGCTATGCAGGACAACCCTTTGCTTCAACCAGTTTTAGTTCTTCCAAGTAAAAGAAGTAAGCTGCCAAATACCAGCTATTGTAGAACTCAATCAAGACTCACAGATATGACCAAACAGGAAGCAAGTAACAAGCTGTGCACTAGCAGCCAGTACATTTCCTGTCACGAGACAAAACAACCCAGAAAGTGCTTATGGAGAAAGTGGACACTTTCACAAACAAAAAACACAATAGCAGTCACAGATAACAAAAAAAGGGTTGTTCAGTGACAGTAAAAGATGAGATAAAATGTCTGCTCTTCTTTATTTGTGTTTGGGCTACAGAGTAATTTTCATGTGCATAAAACTTAATAGCAAAGGTTGTGATGGCTTGCATAAGGAGGTAAAACAGAAGTCAACTGTGAAACTCTGACAGGAATCATTGAAAAAGTGAGTGATTTGACATGAGCAACCATCTGAAGAGCATCTGCAGAACTTTTAAGCTAACTGCTGGCTGTATCACTTAAATTTCTTCAACAAAAAAGCTTTAAAAGATCAGTTTCTTAGCCCCAACACTGGGACTATACCACATGAAGCCAGTGATATAAAAGAAGGACACTTTATCTTCTTTTTTCCCACATAATCCCTTGGTATGATTTCTTTTGCCTCACAGCCACCAAGAAAAAGACCACACAAGATGATGTAGAAAGACATACTCATACTTCTTTTACTCAGAACTTTTAGTCCATTCGGGAACTGGAAATAGCTTCATCCCATCTCTTCACTGAAAAGGAGAAAGCTACTTCATTCTTCCCAAAATAGCAACAAGGAGGATGAAATGTAACTGCTGCTTGACTACACCAGAGACTCTAAAATGAAGAAATATTACTACCATGTTTCTTTAAAAATTCATTAATGTAATTTTCAGCCTACACCAACTTTCACCAAGTATAAGGGGCACTAAGTAATCTGTATCTTGTATCACATGTAGAATATCTGAACAGATGAAAGTTGCTCATTTTCAGATTTTTTTAATAGCTTAATTCTCACCTCCTTTCTTTCATTCATCCACTGAATAAAATGCCCTAAGTCTTCTTAAAGAGTCCACTGAGGATAAAATTCTCTTCCACCACCCAGAGAAATTTCACCATCACGCTTTTTACATTTTTGTGTTATAGGAGGCTTTTCAAACACAGCCATTAGCTCTTCCCCTCCTCTCCCCCCAATTAAGTATTTGAATTTGAACTGCAAGTGCACTTTTGAAGCAATTCTCCAAATTACTGCCACTTACTGCTTTTAGGTTCACATAGTTTAGCTTCAGCACTAAAAGGAGCTCCCCTTTCAGAACAGGCTAAATTAGAAGATGAACTACATGAGCACACATGCTACACTCCCCTGCTGCAACCCAACCTCACTTTGCACATAGTGCAATGTACATGTCATGCACATATCAGGTCCTCAGTGTCAACTCCTCCATTCAAGACATCCTTCCAGAGGACCCCACACTTTGCTAATGTCTTAGCAGATCAAGTTTAAAGCTGGTTTCATTAAACTGGGCAATTGTTTATATCAGTGAGAAGGAATCTTCACGTGTTAAATATTAAATTTCAGGTGCACTTTTACCTCACCATTCTAAAAGAGATGAAAGTAGCAATCAGAAGAGCATTGTTTGCCAGCTGATGAGACATCTCAGTAAAAATGCCTTTAGATAGAGCCTTATTTTGGCTTTTAAATTCAAGTATTTGCCAAACCTGAGATAGCGTGAAAAATTAAATGTTTAGATTTCCAGAAATCTGTAACATTCTTGAAGTTCCATTAAAATTAGCCCAACAAATAAAACATCTAAAATAACTTTAGAACTCACAAACATACTTTTTCATTCATATTGGTCACTCAGCATATCTGTATGCAATTAGATTGACTAAGGACTTTACATAATTTTTAAGTCTTCATTTTTTCTCCTTAATCTTCAGATACATCCCATAGCAGAGAGGAAAATCTGATCTGTCCAGTTCTTAGTATGACAGTTTCATGTAAAGCTGCACAGCATGTATACATACATAAATGTATACATGGACTCAAAGATAAATATATACTCACTCGTGGTAAAAAAACAATCTCAAAGAACAACTCAATGAAGCACACAAAAAATCACAAAAATTTAGGCCCGTGTTTCACATGTGCAGTAAGGTTCGTGCATTCCATCTCCCTTCCTTTATGTGGGCACCAATGCTGCTGCAGTGCTGCCACTTGCTGCGTTCAGGAAGATGAGGTGGGCGGGCCCCCAGGGAATCCCTCCCTCAGTCTGCCACGGTGGGTCACTTTTCCTGATCCCATTCAGCATCCAGCTGTACAAACCTCTGTGAGGATAAGGGCCAGGAGCAGTAGAGCAGGCACAGAATGTTCTTAGTGGATAGGTTGGATTTCATTCATTTTTTTAGTGGATAGACAGGAATTTCATTCCTGTCAAAGGAGCCTATTTTCCAAATTTTTTTTAGGGAAAACCCTGTGTTGCTTTACAGAAATCAGGACAGACAGTGGACTGTGATTTTAGTGGCTTTTAGATTTGTCTGGATTAAGTAACTCCTCGAGGCCTGACCCTTCGCCCGCTGGGAGATGCAAAGGCATCTGAAGTGAGTACTTGACTGAGCTCTGAGGGGAATTCTTCACAGGTACCATGTTTGCACTGATTCCTTCTGTCTGAGTGCACAAACGTGCACATATGCAATAAGAAATCTGGGAGAAATACTGCTTTCTTAGATGTTTAAGTACCTTAGATATCTCAGTATGTTAAGCCTGTAAGTAAGGTTAAGTTATAAGCTAAGTTAAATGCTGCTAAGTGTTGTTCTTTTGTTAAATTGCTGAATCCGACCTAGAAGCAGTAAGTTAGGCTAAGTGCTGCTAAGTACTATTCAACTGTTAAATCGTTAACGTTAAGTTAAAGCTGAAGCTTGAGGTGTAAGTTAAGTTAAAGTACTGTTATGTCTGAGTGCTGTTAAGCTTCAGGGCTGCATTCCTTACCATCCTTTCTTCAAACTCACACATTCACACACACAGGCACCTGGATAGTTCTCGGTTCATTTGTTTTGATTGCTGGATTGTATTTGGTTTTGTTGTCGCTTGTTTCTCCTTGGTGTGCCTTAACTATCCCGTAAGTAATAGAGTGAATCTTGCCAATAAACTTAGTGTGCTGTTGCTCAATACTGAATCTGGTTTTTGCTCATACCCTTACCAATGATATTTTAAGCTATCTCAAACACTCGTTTGTAATACTTGGTCAACTTACCACTGCAACAGCATCACTAGAGAGAACAGCCTGAGCATCCAGCACCGTATAGTAAGCTATATTGGTCATAATATAGATAATAGTCACAATTGGCATAGACACTGCAATAGCCAGGGGCAAGTTCCTGTAAGACAAAAAAAAAAACAAAAACCAAAACTCCAAAACCCACAACTGATTAAAAAGAAAAATTCCATTAGTCAACAGATTAAAGTTATTTATTTGTATCATTTACAATAGATGTAAAAGTAATGAAGCCAGCATAAAGATTTCAAAAAAAGGTATCTCTGGAATCAGAGTTTGGTTTCTTTTGTAACTAGAAATTCTAATACAGAACACTGGGGAAAAAAACCTGATTGTTATAGTAATGTAAAATCTAAATTATGTGTAAAAAGGGATTCTCTGCAGCTGCTCCTCAAATTCTCTAACTTCAAGGTTTCCAGATCTGTAGTAACAGCCTTCAAACTTACATGCTTTAAATTATTTCCTAATGTCCATGTTAATTACCACAATTAGAACCCAAAGAGGCAGAGCTCTGAGGTACTGCACTTTGTCCCTGGGGAATGAGACCGTCCTTACAGCACTTACTTCAGGAACTGATGCAGGGAGATTTTATTAAACCAAACCCCTGTTCTTCTCATGTGCACTCACCACTGCAGAGAACAAACGGCTGCACAACAGAGATACAGATCTAAAACTGCTGAACAGCTTTGAGCTCCAGCATGTATCTTACTAGCAAACACAAGTCTAGAAAGCTACACAAAAAAAAAGGCAAGAGTAACAGGAAAACACTGCTAACCCTGAGATGTGAGCAGATAAGTTAACTGTGAGATAAACTCACAGCCCTGAGTGTGCAGCTCCACAGACAGAAACTACAGAGCAGAAACAGATTTTTAATGTTAGGTTTTGGCTTTTCTCAGCCTTATTCTTTCCTCAAACCTCACAGGAATATTCAAACGTTTCAAAACGGGAAGCAGAACTGAGAGTGTTACTCTCACATTTGCCCAGTTTGAAATCAAACACAGCAGGGTGACATTGATGTGCATTTGCCATGAACGTTGTTTTCAATAACAACAAGAATAAAACCTTCAAAAAAACAAAACTCTAAAGCATAAAAATTATCAGTGTGACTAAAACTTTGAAAGTTTCCTCAAAAACTTCCTGAGGCCCAGAAGTCCAGCTGTTTCTGTCTGCTGCCATGGAAGCAGAACAACAAACATACCCCACAATCCTCCATATAAATCAGTAAATTAGTAACTGGGAGTTCTGACTCTTCTTTCAGGTTGCACACTCACAGTAAGAGACATGTGAATGCCAGCACAGAGAAGAAAAAGAAACAAAAAACTGCATTTAATTCAGAAATATTACACAATGTAACAAAAATCTGAAATAGCATTTTAAGGGCTTCGCATAATCCAAGGTTAATGTCAAGGGACGATGTCAAATGTAATTTGTGGATTGCAACTTTTGGGTGGACATGCATGAAGGCACTACCAATCAAGTAAACATGAAAAATATGTAATTCTTGTAGTAATTGTGTAGAAGTCTGGAATACCTCATTATTCCCAAGAACTGTCAATGCAGAAAGCTGAAATTTGAATCTCACTTTACTAGCTACCATTCTACCAAGAATGAAGCTTGTATTAGGCACTGATACCTATCTAGAGCAAATGATCATGAAGAAATTTTCATCAGCTAAATATCCTGTGAGAAAAATTGCTTTTCAAAACAATACATCTAATAGAAGAGCTATCAAACTCGTAACAGAGAACACTACACTAATTTTAAAAAGAAGAAAAGACATTGCAGCAATACTCAAAAAATAAGCTTTTCAGCAGAAAAAAACGTGATTTGAAGGACCAAATTACTGATAAAAATACAAAATATATCTTCTGAATATGTGTATCAAATTTTTGCAAGAAGATTTAAAGAAACAAACTGTTAATCTAGAATTCAATTTAACTAAAAATACTTAGGTTTTTTTAAAGTACTTATTCACTATTTTAATAGATAAATTTCCTGGTTAGATAAATGGTCAGCATAAAACTCAATATCCAACATAGAAGGGAATAAACAGCAAAAGTCAGAATCAGTTGAGAGAACCAAAAAAACCAACTCATTCATTCTTTATCATTCAGCTACAGCAATGTGAGCTGTTGCTTACAATGGGATGTAAAAATTATCAAAGGGGATTCTATTCTAACATAAAGGTGTCAGCTTACAGACTCACAACTGGGTAAGGTTAGTCAGTCACATTTCTAGAGCATAAATTAATGGAAAATATTAATACTCTTAAATATGAAATCAGAATGATTGCAGAGGTAAACACAGATAATACTTAGGTACCTGTTCAACTGCAACATTGACACCTATTATAATAAATAGTAACAACATCTTGATCTGAAAGCTTATCTAGCACTGAATACGGCATCCTGCAACCATTTACACTTATTGGTTCTTATGTTTTAATTTCTTTTTCACTTTTAATGGAGTTTAGTAAATCTTTGCTAGTGGCCATCCACAGCCTCACCAGTAGAGCAGTTCTACTCATTTCTGTGTAAGCTCAGAATTTATTAGTCAGTAACATCCACAAACCCATCAACCTGGGAACCATCCACATTTAGAAAGCTCAAACTATTTACCTTTCTGGGTTTTTGATTTCTTCTGTTACATAATTGAGGGTATCCCAACCAGAGTAAGAAAACAAGGCAGAATATAATGCAAGGGAGATTTCTCCAATATCAGTAGAGGATCCCGCAAAAGAGTTCTTAAAGTACCATGTATGTCCTGTGTGGAAAAGGTGCAATGAAGGACAGGATAATAAAATACAGTAAGTAATATTTTACCATGTGGCACACAATTACAAAAATACCTCAGAAACCCTAATTCCTTCAAATCTGCTTATTAAGACCTTTTTCCAATTCTACTCCATGTTTTAGCCATGAAAATAAGCACGTCATTTAAAACTACTAAAAATTATTGACTGCATATGATATTGTTCTACAATTAAACACCTGGTTTGTCTACAGTGGCACAAGAAGTTCAGGAACATTAAGACTAAGCTATAAACAACTGGCAATGATAGTACTCAGGTTAAGTATGGGGGTTTACAACCTATATATTTAGAAAATAACCCACTCTATTCTTCTATATCCTTTTAAATTTTCTAACATTTAGCCTATGCAGAAAACAAAGATTACAAATTACTTTAAATAACTATGACAAGAAAACCCCACATAAACACCTACATAGATGTTTAAGGTTTTGCTACTAAAAATAGAAAACTGAGAAAAATTAACAGAATAAAGTATTACTGTTAAGATAAAATTTTCCCAAGCTAAAAGTGTATGTAAGTTTTTTGGACCAGTACTTGCAAAAACTTGTGCCATCTTTTGACTTTAAGCAAGTCAAGACAAGTTCATCACCCACAGTTTATATATTCAGACTATATATATATAAACACACAAAATCACCAAAAACAGAAAGGCAAGTTTCTGTGTAACTCCAAAATATGCCCTATACTATGCATCCTGAAGTGTTTGGACTCCATTAAAACTGTAATATTTGAGGCCTCTAAAATATCTTTACTTATTTCTCTTCTCTACATTTTATCCCAATCAGATGTTGCTGCTCCCTTGGCACAGACATAGGTAGAGTAACTGCTGAGTTAGGAACAGAAAAAGGACACAATGTCCAGGAAACTAAGATGTGAACAAGCTCGGTATCTGTGATACAAGGGATGGGCAGATGTGCTAAGGATTAAACCTGGTGCTCACACATGCATATTCTTGATTGGTTCACAGTAATTATCTTGCTCATAAACTTTTAACAATAACTAGTTAGAGCAAAGGGCATAAATTGTCACATTGCCAGGAAAGACAGACCTTTATGGCAGCTGTGAAAGCAGGATAATTTTCTCAAGCTAACACACCAACAAATTCTTCCTAAAGGAAGGGCTAAAAACAAAACTAAGTTCAGAATTTCTCTTAACTTGAAGGCACAATGCCCAACAAACACACTTTCTAATTCTCCACAGCTATATTAGAATTCAGGCTTTGAGCAAAAACAGAGCTGTAGCTTCACAAATCTACCTACATATTCTTTAGCATATTTGTGCTTTAAATTCAGACACATTCAGACCACAGATTCATCTTGTAAAAAAAATCAATTGATCTCACTGTAAAGTAGCATGTTCCTTAAAGAAATTTGTAACTTTCACCCCTGCCACTTATTTTGCTGTCTCTGTGTATTGCTGTTTTCACTTCCTTTTTAATTCTGTACTGCAGGCTGTGAATAACACAACATTGCTGAGCAATGAATTACCTTCTTTTACCAAGTTCAAAGTCAACTGAGATAGGATGGATATCTCATGACATTGTTTCATGATAATGTGTAACATTGGTATTACTGGTATTTTCAAGGTGGCTGTATTTTACTTTTTTTACTGAGGCATCTCATTAAATATACAGAGGTAGTTTACAGTCTTTAGATCAATCACTCAATTTAACTGATAAACACAAACCTTTGCTTTAATTTTACAAGCTTACCCTGGAATATTTCAACAAGTCCAGCAATGATGATGGCAATAAGAGCAGCAACTTTAGCGTAAGTAAATACATCCTGCACACGTGTGCCCCACTTAACATAGGCACAATTTATAACTGTTAAAAGACCTAGGGAAGGAAGAAAAAAGAAAAATTACAAGACTACTTGAACAAGGCCCAGTTTAACTCACTTTTCACAGCTTTTAATTGTAATCTAAATATGCACTTACTTGTTATACCAATACATTGGTTAAACTAAGCCAAATGCACAGGTACTGAAAACACACTGGTTCCAACAAAACAGCAGGAAACAGATGTTTTAAACAGTTTCAACGACAGAAGGAAAGATTTTCCTGTTCTCTGATTACATACCCATTTTCCTAATGCTACCCCTCCCCAGCTGTACTCTGCAACTACCCTGAAACGAAAGAAACTGCTATATGAAATAATTAATTTCAGTGTACCACTATTATTCTAATAAATGAAAGATTATCTAGAAATTCCTTTGGGCAAACATATTAGAAGAGTGTTTGAGAAAGTCTTTCCATGGTTCACTGTTAGGTTGAGGATGAGTTCAACATCCATGGAGTAGCTACAATGCTAAGTAAGGTTACAGGTGGTTCAATACTCTTTTCCAGTTCTACTGAACTGTACTATGAAGAGAGAATATATCGATTTTACAAGGGCATGTACTGAGAGGACAAGGGGTAATGGCTTTAACCAGAAAGAAGGCAGATTAGGTTCGATTATTAGGTTCGATTAGATTAGATTAGATTAGATTAGGTGTCATGAAGAAATTCTTCCATGTGAGGGTCATGAAGCACTGGCACAGGTTGCCCAGAGAAGCTGGGGGTGCCCCATTCCTGGGAGTGTTCAAGGCCAGGCTGGATGGGGTTTGAGCAAGCTGGGATAGTGGAAGGAGTCCCTGCCCATGGCAGGGGGCTGGCACGAGATGATCTTCAAGGTCCCTTCCAACCTAAACCATTCTGTGGTTCTAAAGAGCACATGCCTTACAGCTAATACAACCTTAGTCTGGATTTTTACAAACTGGTAGGAAGTAATGGGTATTCTGAGTATTTAGTTCTCTATCCCAAAATAAATTAGTCAGACCTATTTCACAATATTGCAACGAAACTTGTAATGAGACTTTCAGATCTCACAAATATTTTGCAGCTGCTGACTAAACTTACTCACATGATCAAGCTCCCCAAGACAGTTCTCGTGACTCTCAACACTTTGCTTTTGCATTCACTACCTTCCTCTGAAGTGGAGAGCCAGACAACCTCTGCCTGAACTCAAGAGCTTTATACTGAATAGGATTCAGTATCTTCAGTATTCTTTATTTAACGAAATCCTAATTTGGTACATATTTTTCTTAGCCAAATTATCAATATATTATTGAAACTTCTGTATTAGAAACAGTATTTCCCCCAAATCTCACTTTTCTCTCGAGCTAGTGAAAAAGTGTTTCTATACTACTGCACTTTTTATCTCCACAGAATTTTCTTGTACAGTGTATTTCAAATATGCATATGAATAAAAACTAAACTCGATTGTTTCAGGAGTAAAGTAGCAGTTTTTTGTTAAAAGAGATGTGATATATTATTTCCTTTCCCATAATCCATGATATTATTGAGATAAAAATAACCTTAGCACAGTTACCAAATTGAAAACAATAACTCTTAAAAGATAACAAAAGGAAGGTAATGATCAGACAAGTATGGTACTAGTATGTTAGACAGTCTGGACAAGCTGGATGAGGTTCAACTGAGCATGGCAAGATGACGGGGAAAGAAACCTCAGTTGTATCAAATTTCAAAAGTCAGGACTGTTGCAGCTCCTGAAGAGCCCTCAGGAAAAAAAAACTGCTCAGTCTCTGCTCTTCAGTTTCAGTGACTGGAATATTTGCTCACTGTGTTTATTTCAGTCGTATTTTTAAAAGCAATTTTCATTGGGATTAATTATTATTAGGGAGTTAGGGCTTGGTCTCTACTTCAGATGAAATTATTCTCTGATACCTTATAAGGAGAAAAAAAAAAGATAATATTCTGAATAAGCCACATCTCTCTTTCTTTTGCTAAAAAACCTGTTTTCTTCAACTTAATTATTGTTTAGCCACTTAAAGTTTCTGAGAGCTGTCAAGTTTAGTTCTGTAGCACCAGATGACACCCCACTGCCAAAATGATTGTCAAAGTAATCTCTATAACACAAAGACTGTTCTCAAACAAGCTCTATTGCTATCACTAAAATTAAAAAAACTCAACAAACAAAACTAAAAGTAAACCCCACAACAAACTCACTCAGTGTCACATACAACCTGTACCTAACTAAGTGCAGACTTCCACTCCCAGCAGCTTTATTATTAAGGGATTAATCATATCCAGAGCTAAGGATGTGACAAACAACATCAGCCATGCCAGGACAGGGAGAAGTCTAAGCTTGAACAGCTAAATGAAGCTGTAGAGCAGGGGTGAGTCTTAGCAATGACACTTACAGCAGGGCAGAACAAGCATTTAAACCATAAAACAGACTGTTAAAGTAAATTGTTCCACCTGCCTGAGAGTGATCCTGCTGTCATGTGTCTCCACTAAAAAAAGAGGTGCTAAATCCTCTTTATTAACAGCAAATGTAGAGGACATCACAGTGTTTTTCCATACCTACTGTATAATAATTTTAATTTAATCACTTTGTCTTAATTTCTTGCTTTTTAATAAACTCCTTTTCATAAGAGCTAACTGCCTTCAGAGTAAAGGCATACCTTAAATGGAAGAGCAGATTCTCCCACACTCTTGAATTTGTGCCAAGGTACCTTGGGACAATATCTGTTTAAGGAATGTGAACATGACATTACAGGCCCTTCACTCATTTGGAAGGAAGGAGGGAACAGAACTGATTAAACTGATAGATTTCCTGGAAGAAGCTTGTGATTGTTTTTCCCCCTACCTCGACCTCAGCCAGCATGTTAATGCTTTCACAACAGTATCAAATAACAAAAGTGGGAGGAGAAGCTGCCATCATCATAGCCAGTTATAGAGGTGAAATATCTGCTCTGTTGTTTTCCTTTTCTTATCCTTTCTAGACAACTATAATAAGGAACACTGAGCTCTTCCAAGAGATGCCTCAAAAAGGAGTCAGCAAGAAGCAGCACATATCCTTGCAACATATTGTTGGCAGTAAAAGAGTCCAAGTTCTGTGTTAGCTTTTTGATACAAAATCATGTTAATACAGGTGACAGACTGTGCAGAGCACACACCTATGGATCAGTACATCACAAAGCATTGTCCTACAGACTTGATGAAATACAGTTTTGCTGTTTACTGGAAATGTTAAATATGTATATAAACACTTTTAATAGGAAACACCTAAAATTAAATAAGACATACACAATTCAATCAGAGTTTCATTCTTTTGGTACAGCAGAACACTCCTGGTTTGAAGTGTGTGGGCAGCTGTTGCTCTATATTGACTAACAGAAGTGGCTATATGAATACAAGTATTTCAATATTTTATGTGCATGCAAAATTTCCACTTTTCAGAACAGCTTCACCACACGTACTGCTCTACAGATGTTACAGTTAATCCTAAGTATAAAGAATAATCTTGAATGAATGATTTTTTGAAACCAGAGTAGTAACTGAACTATGTAATCATTGAGAAATTATTGCAAACCAAATTACACCAGAATTTATAGCATAAGAGCCATTCTGCAATAGCTCTTGAGACCACACCAAGAATATCCTGAGGTTTGCTTTAAAATAATTACCTCTCTCAAGGGAAAACAAATTTTACAGCCATTTTTTCCAGGTAAGTAAGCTTGGAAGAATTCAATACCTTCTTCTGCTTTCAAAGGAGAAAATGGTCATTCACTGACTGAACACCTGCACGTTACTGATGTGCTGGAATTGTTCTTTTCCCCTCTGTAACTCAAACCACTGCAGATCCAGTACACAACTCTGAGTGTAAGATGTTTTAATAAAACATACCCTCATAAAAACTTACCATAGTAAATTTCAAGAAATACTTACATTCACAAGCAGCTGCTAAGAGACGACAAGCCATATACGGAGGGTCACAAGTAGGGAAGAAAGGCTGAACTAGGTAGTTAGCAAAGGTGATGGCAATGATTGCCTGACTAGTTGGTTCAACAATTAGGAGTGACGTCCACAAACGAATAAAAGCAATGAAGCTCCCAAAAGACTCCAAGATATATGCATAGCTGGCTCCTGACTTTGTAATAGTGGTTCCAAGTTCAGCATAGCAGAGAGCTCCAAAGACTGAAAATATCCCTCCAATTGCCCAAATTATTAAAGACAATCCATAAGATTTGCTGTAGATGAGAACTCCTTTGGGAGAGACAAAGATACCCGAACCAATCATGTTGCCTACTATAAGGCTTATCCCATTTATTAAAGATATTTCTTTCTTCAGTTGCATTGTATTTTGGTCTCCAGCCTTCTTTCCACTTCGATCTGTCCTTTTTGATTTATTGACGGGGCTGTATTCAGCCAGTGAAGTTTGAGATTTTGTAAAATCTGTCCTTTCTGCCATTGTGGAAATACTGTGAATTCTCCACGATTCCAAATCACAATCTAAAACAAAATATAGACAGCTGAAATCATTATAAATTTTTTTTATCCCAGGACATTCTTGCAAAATCTTCTTTCCACCTTTTTACCCCATGATTTACAAGTATAAATTAAGATATTTCCTTTTGTTGCTTCGTGTTTGCGTTTTTTTTACAAAAAGTCAAATTCATGCACAGTTAAACAGCAGAACCAACACAGACAAACCAAGAGACAAATTCCTATTTAACTTAGGATGAGAGGGGAACTTCTACCACTAGGAAAACAAACAAACAAAACTATAGGAAGGACAGAATTAAAGGAATCCTATCTTGAGAAGAGCAGAAGAACAGAAAGAAGGAGAGTGAGATGTTCTAGATAAGGAAGCACCACGAAACCAAGATGGAAGTTCAAAGCATGAACATAGATGTATTGCAATACTAAAATCATCAATCCAATTGCTGTGCTTACACAGGTAATTTATGAGTGATCTCATGACATGTTATCAATGTCCTGAGGGCTCTTGCTAAGGACCACAGGCAGAGGGACTCACTCCACAATGCCCTTGAGCCAACCCTTGACTTTTGCCACCACAGTTTGCTCCCTCCCCAGAACTGTTTCCAGATCTCACTGCCTCCTTACCCAGTTATCTAGAAGTACAGACTGTACATAAAAACTCATAGTAATTTCAATACAAATTCCTCCATTAGCAGTTGTATTTATCAGTACCTAGGGACATAGAAATTAGAGTTTTTCCTCTGCTTCAGAACTGACTGACTGGAAGAGAGCCACTTCTTCTGAAGTCTCCAGAAAATGCTCCCATGCCTTCCAAAAGCAAGTTACTGCTAATAAAATCTCTTAACTCAAGAAGATACTGATAATTCGGAATAAGACTCATTAGAATCATTTTACACAAGTTCAAGATTACTAGCTTATCAGCTGCATAAAGAATAGGCCTGATATCTATCAGAATTAATTTCATGACTATTCATTTGTCCACTGATTAAACCTTGAGTGTATACTTCAGCCTTTTACTACAGAGGAGAAAAAAACCATTGAAAATCTGAGTCAATTAGAATAAAGCAGCTAATCTAGTGTGGGGAGGGTTTTGTTCTTTTTTGGAGGTAACAGTAATTTTAAAAAAGGTTTTCTAGTTGCAACAATAAACTTGTCAACTGAGAGAACAAAAAACCTGAATACGGGAATTTTGAAAGGTCAACATGCAGTCACTCAAACTACAAGTGCATTTAGTATGAACATATGAACACACAAGCTCTTGCAGGCACACCTTTCTGGAGTGAATACTCCTTTCTCATAAAGCAAACATCTGTATACTAAAGCACAGAAAATCTGACCTGACATCTCTGAACTAGAATGAAGACATGAAAATTATAAAGATTATTTTCAGTCAATTAAAAAAGTAACATCTACTGAAATGGAGTAAAAATTTTTTATTGAAAAATATTACATAATTCATCTCCACCGCATGAATCTTTAGAAACTGTATTCTTTTAAATAACGCAAAGTGAGATTCTCAATCTGTTTAGCTGGATGCCTTCTGGTTCATTTTCCCCTCAATACTCCAAATAAACACTTTAAAGATGCTTAAATACTAAAAACACATTTTATCATGTATACGAGTCAACATCTAGTATCACAGATGCATCAGAAGACATCAAATTTCACACTTATAATTAAACAAAAAATTTTCAAACTTCCAGGAACTAAGCACTGCCATTTCAGAACTTAAAAGCTTGAGTATTATAATGAGGCACCTCCAACAAAATTAACTAGAAGAGAGGCATCCCCACAGTTTCTACAGATGAGTGTCAGCAAAACTGTAAAGGAAAAGCAAAGTAAATTTATCACACCAGTTTTTCCCTGCTTCTCTTGTTATTTATTCTTCCATCTATCTTGTGCCAAGTTCATTTGCAACCACTTACCACATGACTTTCTGTTAGTGGTGTAGTAGAGTTAAGTCTCCAAAAATATATGTGCTCTAAAAATTCCCAACATTATTTGTTTGCTTTACAAGAGGAAGTTATTATCTGCAATTGCATACAACTATTAATTAATTATAAATATGATGCAATCATCAGAAATCTCTGCATAACAGCAGAACAAATAATCAAAGCAGATGTTTCCATGACTAATTTGACTGTAGGAAGTGGACTTAAAAGAACACTTAAGAAAAAGAACAGAAAGGAAAAAAAAAAAAAAAGAAAAGAACACTTGACCCAGAAAAATATTAGTCAACTTCAAACTGAGTCTTTTCATTTCCATGAAAAGAACTCAGGATAGGTCACTAGTTGCAAATGTTTTTCCGAAGGCAACAAATGTCAGCGGAAGAAACAAGAATACTACAGCTATTATTATGACATCCAAGTGCCATTTGAAAACACGCCACGTTCATTTCCAGCCCTGACAGCAAAAGGACAAAACTGCGTAAATATGTTAAGAACAGACCAGGAATGTAAAAACACCGTTTCGGTGGTAACTGCACAGCTTTATGATTTCTAACTCACAGATCCTAATCATTCCCATTTCCTCCTGAACATCTTCCAAAGTATAAATTTATCAGAAGCATTCACACATTACTTGGAATGCTTATGCATTTTGATGATTTAAGTCAATTGAATAAATCAAATCACATCAAACCTGGTGTGTTAACGCCGAGCCAGTTTTGCACGAAGTGTAAGCAAGATTTACCTCACGGTCTGGAGTTCAGAGGGGCATTTAATTACCTGGGACTCAGTCACGTTCATGTGCCTCCACCTCAATTAACAGCACATGACTGCAGTTCTATACAGTTTTGTTACTGATGACCTTCACTCTTTCTTGCCCTACTATCTCCACCCAGGAAAGAACAATCACGGTATCTCTCAACCTAGCCTGCTTTGTCCCCCAATTCTCCTTCTTCCCCTCCAAGCCTGCTTTTGTTATTCCCAATTTTGGGAATCTGCTAACAGCTAAGATTTGCTCGAAGGTGTGGACGACAGGTCACCGATGATTGGATACTTAATTCTCTTCTCTAGGCTTGTTTGTTTTATGCGCCTTTTAAAGCCTTCAGGGCGGGAATTGCTTATTTACCTGAGTCACATGATGCGATACATTATACCACTTCTGACAAAATCCAAACTGTCGGCAGGATTTTTCTTTCAAGTACTTCACTTAATCTTAAGTGAAATCAGAATCTGCAGCTTTGACCAATTGGAAAAAAACTTACCAAGGAAGAGAGAAATCAGAGACTAGAGAAAACTGAAGCTATGTCAGAGAAAAAACACATATATAAAAATCCATGATTCTGTCACAAGATCATTATTTCATTGGAAACAGAAGAGAGGCTTGGAGGAGGAAAACCAGAGATAAATAGTGCACATTTTTTAACATACAATAATCCTAATATATTGCAGCTAAAGATACTATCAGAACAATCTCTAACGCTGCCAAAGCCCAGCCACATGAGTGCTATGGCTAATGCAGGATTCTGCCTTCACACAAGCTAACCAACATGTGGATTTCCTCATCGCTCACCCTTGTGCAACACAGTGTCTTCAACTCTGTTTTTGCTGATCACTGCAACTGTGAGGAGTCTTTTTGCTGATACATGTAGATTTATTTTTTTTACTGAAATGACTCTGCTATTGATATAAAAAGCTATGATAAGAAACCAGGACAGTGACCTGAAGCTAGGATCATTTCACTTTCATCAAAGATATATCTTCTGGTAAGGCCTATCATACTGCAGCCAGGTACCAGAGGAGCTGATGAAGGTTAACATGCAATTAGCAATGTACCAATACTGCATTACAGGGTGGCTCTTCTTCAAGGGGAAAGCAAGAGGAACCATCTGCCAAGATCCCCTTTATCCCACTGAGCAGAACAGTCCTCAGTTGCTCGACCTGAGATGAACCTGCAAGTGATTTATGACCAAGGTGAAGTACCAAACTGCTAAAAGCTTACTGTGTTTGCTGTGCTTTTATACAATACCTGCTCATTAGCAAAGATTTCTGGTGTTCTTGCTTCTGTCTTCCTTAGTTCTTGATTGCATAAAACAACTCCCGTTGTAGCACAGCTTACATACACACTTTGGCTATTCACATATACCAGATGTAAGACTCCTATTTCTGAGCACAATGATTGGCCCTATGAGCAAGATTCAAGATTGCTCTATACAGGCAAACAGCATCCAAGTCTCCACAGAGTTAGGCACCAACAGAGCAAAGGCCACAAGTCTCAGAAATACTTATTCATTGCAATGTATATATTTAGGCACCTCATAGTCTGAACATTTACATGGGAAAGGCTTATAGCTTGTCTAGGATACGTTTTTTTCTGGTGAGAGAAGAATCACTGCCCTACCATACATATGCTTAACAGACAGGAAGCCCGCGCTACAAAAACAATTCCCAATGTAAAGATCTGCTCTGTTCAACCAACTCTTTTGTGCTGCATATACAAACACACCATCTTCAGCACAATAAAAAAAAAAAAATCCTACCAAGAAACTTTTGATCAAACAGAATTGGTTGTAGCATCCGTTTTTTGAAAAAAAGGACAAGGTATGTTTGTCAAGAAAACAGTATGAAAGAGAAGTTACTACGACAGATTTTTAACTTGATAGTTTATCAGGATGGTAGTAAATAATATATTCCTATTTTTTCATCTTTTTCATTAATTTCATATTTCCAAGGAAAAAAACAGAAGTAAGCTCTTTGATCAGTCTTGATTTAGGTTGGGAGTGCATGAAGCTGCTGCACTGAGAGGAACATCTGGTGAAATTTATACAACAATCCCCAGGTAAAGACAGAAGGAACAACAGTTTGTTAAAGTAATTCACCTTATTTTTCATGCTGGGGCAGAAAAGCAGAAACCTCTTAAAAAGGGGGGAAATTATGCCAAAAAGGCACATGCTACACCCATGTGTACTCTTTAGGTGGCACTTATAGCCGCACCTAATCAGATCGCATTTAATACGCTTCATTTAAAAACACATACAACAATCAAAATCACTCCTAAACGCCAGCAAGCAAAGGTGTGCTGGCCTGAGGGTCTCGCTAAGCCCACTTCAGTGCCCTGCACAGCTCGCTAGCAGAGCACTTCTAATTACCTGCACCCACCACCAAAAAGCACTACAGGAACACGTGGCTTCCCAAAGCCACCCTCGAGTCGCCATACGCGTGACCACAGGGGCTGTCGCCGCCGGCCTGAGCCCCTGAGGGGGTTCCCCCGAGGGAGGGGGATCATCTGCAGAGAGGTCATTTCTACCTCTCACTCCTTATAAAAACAGCGAGCTTCACACAGATTTCTGCCTCCTGGACAGCCCCGGGAAGGAAGTAACTGCAGGCACCCGCCTCAGACGGGGGCTGTCAGAGTCAGGGCGCGCTTTAGAAACAATACAGCAACACACAAGGCATTTTCCTTGCTACCACTGCACACTTGCAGCAGCCCGCCTCGCCAAAGCCGCCGCCCCAGATGCTCTGCCGGCAGTCCCTGCCCTGAGGCCGCTCCCTGCCCGCCTTCCCTCAAGGTGACGGGAACAGAAGGAAAGCGGGAAAGGAAGCAGAAAACCTCACCCGGGCTGCGCCGGCCGGAACCGCGTAACCTCCGCTCCCGCGGAGCCTTCTCGGGATGCTACCCGCCCGTTGGCACTCGAAGCGATGGCGGCCCCTCCGCCCCGCCCCCCCGCCGCATCGCCGTCGCCGCCTCCCCGCCGCGTCGCCCCGGCACCGCCGCCTCCGTCACCGCCTCCGTCCCCTCCTCGCCCCTCCCCGGCAGAAAGCCGGTACCTCCCGCGTGGTTGCCCCGAGGGAGAAGCCGCAAGGAGCGCACCGGCTCCGCGGGGCTTGCGCGGGGTTCTGCGGCACCCGCTGGTGCGCAGGGAGGTGTTTGCAGGGCCCGAGCTCCCCCCTGCCCCGCGGAGTTCGCGCCGACCCCTCCGCTACCGGTGGGTGAGGAGAGCCGCGATCGCCTCCCCCGCCGCAGCCGGAGCGGGAGACCAGCAGCCTTCCCCTTTCCCGGGAGGGCAGGATGGAGAGCAGCCCTAGCGCTGACGGTACGGCTCCCTCCCGGCCCGGGAAAGGCACGGCGCCTTCCCCAGCCCGGGCTGGGGGCCCTGCCCTCGCCCCGCGCTCCCTCAGGGCCCCGGGGACACGGAGCTCTCCTGAGGCCCCGGCGGACGCTGCACAAAGTCACATCCACATGAGTTACACCCGCATGGGTTACACCTGAAAGACGCTCAGGCTCGAGACTGAGAGGGTGGAAACCCGAAAATCTGGTGATATTTTGGGTTTCTACTGCAGAGGTCCTATGTGCC